ACAGCCTGATCTTTCTCACTCGGAGGAGCTGGCCTTGCTGTTAGCAACCCAAGGCCTTGTTGTTGCCGTTAGGTGCGGCCAACTCCACTCCGGCTCATCGCAACCCTGTGTGCAATAGAACAAAACGCTGCCCATACAACTTCAACCTTTGCTCCATTTACCACAACTGGTAAACAGCCGGTGGTGCGAGTTTTGGTGTTCTTTACATTGAGTTGTAATCCATGCTGAAGGCTGCGATCCTTGACCTTCATCAATATGTGCTTCGAGTCCTTCCTTTCAGGAAGCAGGGCTGTGTCAGCTGCACATCGGAGGTTGTCAGTAAGCCTTCCTTGAGTTCTGATGCCACATTCCTCATATAATCCAGTTCTCTTATTATTCATGTAATGTACAGATTAAATAAATACTGTGGGAGATTACCACCCTGATGGACACCTTTCCTGGTTTTAAAGCATGCATGATTCCCTGGTTCTGTTTACCTAACTTCCCCTTGAACCATGCATAAGTTCCACACAGTGAAGTGTTCTGGGATTCTCATTCTTCTCAAGGCTACCCATAGTTTGTTATGATTCACACAAATGCCTTTGCATAGTCAATAAGACACAAGTAACCATCTTGCTGTCTTAGGAGATAGTTATTTTATTGCACAGGAGAATCGTTTTTTTCTGTTCCAATTAGAAAGCTCAAAATCCCAACATGTACTGCCTAGAACACTTCAGCACATTGAAAGTCCACACTAGTGCTAAGACGTGTGGAAGATGTTCCAAAGAAGGATGCTCTTGAGACAGAACATGGGGTTATAAAAGCACGCCAAAGACAAAGGACAAACAGAAGTGGAGATGAAGCAGGTTGCAAAGAGAGAGTAGCTCAATAATCGAGGGAAGGACTTGGGATAGACATACCAAATGATTCCGATGTAGAATAGTGCTTAAATTTTTAGAATAGCTACAAAAGTTCTAGTAACTTGCAAGGGAAAAACAAAAAACAAAAGTAGAGCAATGGGTATATGATTCACCATTGGGGTCTGTAGGTAAATTAACAAAGGGCATTCCTATTGTCTAGCAAGTTTTGTTTCATAAGAAAATGAGGCAAATTCCCAGTAGGCAACAAATGCTATGGACTTTTTTATGCATCCTCCTTAAGACACGTTTTAGAAACACAGAGCCAAAGCTCTTGCATCTCCCACGCCCACAATATTTTCCATCGTCGTCGTGAGGAATCACCTTGGTGAGGCCCCTGAGGTGTTGACATTAAACAAACCCCGAGTCTCTTGGAAGTAAACTTTTATGTTCAAAGTGCTTGTGTATTTTACATGATAATATGCTTTACAATTTAAACCCGATTTATAGGATGTAATTATCAGCATATTCCATTGGTGAAAATCCCCATCATCCTGATTATAAATGAGAGTTTACTATATGGACTAGCACTTAATTTTATGGCATCCCTGAATTCGATATTATAACAGCTGGAAGGAACCAGCATTGGACTTGGGGTCGGTCGATGATGGCATAGGAAAGCAGTCTGACTCAGACCTGGCCAAGACAGGATAAGGCATGTGAGCTGGTTGCTTTTGTATTTCATTGGTTGATTTTCAACATCTGTTTCGAGCTTGAAGTTAAGGTATTAAAAGTCTTCCAGTCCAACCCCCCTGATTTTATAGATGAGAAACCACAGCCCAGAGAAATTAAAGTGATTTGTCATAGCTTAGAACCGGTACACCCTGGGCCGGCTACTACTCTGTGTTCAGAGTAGAATGAAGTACTGTCATCCTAACTTTTTTCTTTGTCCTGTCGACTGCTCATGTTAGTGAGTTCCACTGATGGCTTGCTATGTAGACCATGATCGAGGTCAAGTGTAGTTACTACTGGACGATGATGACCTTAGTCAACATTGGAAATCTGGGATCATTTGATGGTTAAGATGTGTCTTGTTGGCTGTTTAATCCTAGCTGGCCCAGTTAATTCCTCCTAGAACACACCAAATGATCTCATATCAGGAATGCCGTGTGGCATTGTGGTTAAGAAACTGACTTTGATGGCAACAAAACTGTGAGGTGGGG